AAATGGTAAAATAATAATAATTATTTTAAAACAGGGGAGAGTAGTTTCAACCCACCATTTCAAACACCCACTTTTAAAATGCAAACAATAAATTAATTAATTCTATTAGTAATCAGTTTTGTCTCAACTTTATGTTTTGATGCCAACATTTAAGAAAATTAGAAATATATAAATTCAAGCTACACAAGAAGTGATAGAGAGAATGTCCTGCATATAGACATAGAATTCTAGTTAGAGTGAACATTTAAGGACTTTGGGAAGAAGCAGTCTTAAGGTGTAAAAAATCTATAAAGATGCACAAAGAGTTGACCAAAGAAACCATGACAACCTAAATAAGAAAAAAGGTGCAAACCATATATATGGAGAGATGGGGGAGTGGCCTTAGTCTTGACTCCAAAAAAATTAAAGCTTCAACATCAAACACAGCACTTTAAGGTAAAATAACATAAAATACAAGATTGATAGTAAGGGAAAAACAGAGCATTACATGACTGTTACCAATCTCACTTAGCACTTATTTTAAAATGGTCTAACAAACTAGAAAAATGGTTAAAGGAAATGCTAAAAACCTGAAACTATCATGAGGAGGAGTGGCCGATAAAGGTGCCAAGGATGGCAAGGTAGGTGGGGTAGTAAGATGGAAGGAAGGAGCGATAGGTGGCTATAGTTAACAATAGGTGGTGATTGTTGATGGATGAGGTGCATTTGGGAATAAGGTGGTAGATTGACGTCACTTGGGTAAAGGAGGTGGCTAGTTTCACAAATGAGCATTGTGGAATTTCGCAAAGATCTTAGACTTGTCAAGCAATAGTTTGAAAATCTTAAGTTTTTAGATAAAATATTCAAGTACGATAGGGTTTTATTCAATATCAATGGTGTATAGAAGGAAGTTAAGAAAGGAGAAATAAGGAATTTTTTTATTTTAAATATTACTTCCTTTTATATTGGGATATCAATTAAGACATATTGCATTAAAGATGTAGAATAATTAGTTTAATTACATTTATTAGAATAAGAGCTTATATTAGTGTTAGGTTTTCAAAACTCCCTCAAAGTACTTATTGCAGTATTACACCAATTATAGAATAAAAACTCCTAACAAGTATTGGGTGGGATTGGTGATTGTCATACAATGCTTTATTTTCCTTACTTTAAGCTTGTAATCTTTTTATTTAATATTTAATGATATTTGCCTCACAAAAAATTAAGTTAAACGCCCAATTTTGTCTCTTAATTGTTGTATAGACCCTAAGTTGGTCCTTAAACTTAAAAAATTCCTATTTTGGCTCCTAAATTTTGACAATTTGACCCCTTTTTCGTCCCTTTGTTAAATTTTAACTTACTTGGTTGGTTAATTAACAATGGTATTATGAAATGTCAACAAAAATTAGCGATGTGGGATTTATAATGTGACAAAGTGTGTGACATAGCAAGTAACCAGTGAATTTAATGAATTAAAATGTATATATTTATAATTTTTTCCCTTTCATTTTTTTTCCTCACGTCTTTTATTTCCTTCCCTCTCTTCCCTAAAACCCTAATCTCCTTTCTCTCTCACACATTGCCATCCTTTGTACATGCTTGATCTACACTTTCTTTATGCTTCTTCATTGTATATGATTTACTTGTGTTGTTTTGATGATATGGGCCATTAAGAAAGCTTCAATCTTAGTCTTGTTGATGTGCTTTTCCACCCTATGGTTCAACTCTTTATCCTCATTAGTGGATAAATCCTTGGCATCTCCATCAATAATAGAAATCTAAGCAATTCTTAGGTTTTGAGGTTAATGAGTTGATCGAATCTCACTCAGTCCATGGCCTCACTAGCTTAGTGGTAACCATTCGATGCTCTGTATATTTAATCTATGAAGAATCTTGATTCATTTAAAAATATAATAATAATGGATGAAGAAGAGGCTAGATTGGGTCTGTAGAGGGGAACAATCAAGGCTACATGAAGACTATGGGTATTGCAAAAATGATTTGTTTTGTATTCCAAAGCTAAGGAGGTCACTCAAAGGTGGCCTATGGTAAGGGAGCTTCATCTTCTATAATCATCAGTAGTTCCCCTTTCTAAACCTAATCCAACCTTTTCTTCATCACCAATCTCACCACCTTTCACCATTCACCACCTTCACACGCTTGATTGTAGCTTCAATCTCCTCTTTTTTCCAAATCAAATCTTAGTTGCTGAATGTAGAAACATGAGAAATTAGGGTTATTAATACCTATGTTGAAGTCAAAAACCACACTAGGCATTTTCTTTTCTTTTCTTTTCTTTTTTCACATTTCTCTTAAGAATTCCTTGTTAAATCATATGTACAAACTCAATATTGATGAATATTTAGGTTTATGCAAGTGACGAAGTTTTGGGTTTCTACATCATGTGATAATCCACTCATATGGTTCTATTCTTCTCCTTTGTTTTATTATTTAATTAAACTTAATTTAAATAGTTAACAATGGTTACCAAAAGTCTTTTGGTTTACTGCTTAATTAAATTCAAATTAAATGGTTAACAACAGTTAGTAAATATTTATTTAAAAAGTTAGAGGATGGGTCCCACAAATATTTTAAGCAAGATGATTAAGGATTATGTGTACAATCTTTTTTGACATGTCATGCATTTTGCTACATTATCAATTCTACGTGTTTAATTTTTTATGGGTTATGTTTTTGTAGTTAATTAACAAGCCATATCACCTAAAACTTAATAGGATAGACCAAAAAAGAGCTTCATTGTCAAATTTTAAGGACCAAAGTAAGGATTTCTTAAGTTTAAGTTCAGGGCCAACTAGGCGGTCTATACAATAGTTGAGGGACCAAGTTGGGGGTTTTAACAAAAAAAAAATGAAAATTAGGATATATATTTGCATAAAATCTTGAATTGAATATTGGATGTAACAATTAGTTTTTTAGAATATTAATCAAATGTGTTGTTTTTGGTGTTATGATTTCAAGTTTTTTTAGAGTTATAACTTATGTACAGTTTTACTATTTTTTTATTAAAGTATTGAGGTATACAAATATTAAAATAACCTTAAAAATCAAAATAATGGAGAAAACATTTGAGAAAGTTTTTTTTTTTTTTTCCAAATCAAATGCACCCTAACGAAGTCATATGCATAGTGAAAACATAACTTGTGGTTCTTTCTCCACTTATAGCAAAAGTTAATGCTTTCTTTAAAACCACCCAACTAGTATTGAAATTGGAGTTGGGTCAATGTTATTTCTTAATATGAAAATGAGGCCTTAATTTCAAATATTTGACAACCAAATGGATCTCTTCCATAGGAGGCCGACACTACTTTGATGTTGCAGCACAAGTGACTCAATCATTTCTCAAGAGGCAATATTTTTATTGTTAACTCATTTTACTTCTTAGAGATGCTATTATCATTGGAAGTAGTTATATTCAATATATAAGTTATAGTGGAAAAGTTTACTATTCCTCAAAAGAAATAACCACATATCAATTAATGGCGAGCTACTTGGGGGCAACGGCAACAAGGACTTTCTAGGTCTTTTGAAAATTTGTTAAATAGTACCTATATTTTAGTAAAATATAAATAGCACTCTAGATTTTACAAATATATATTTATTTATTCAAAAAATTACCAATATACATCTTTTTTTTTTAATTTATAATGATAATTTTTTATTAAGTGAAATGCAAAGACTACTCCCTCCCTTTGTAAGCTAGCTATTTAGATTACAAAAGCACATAAATGGTCAAAAGACAATTCAAATATCAATTCTAATCATCCCTCAAACCCATCCAATGTCTTTAACTAGTATGTTAAATTACTTACTAAGATGATTTATATTGGACTTCTTGTCGCTAATCATTATAAAATTGTTGAAACTTTTTGTATTTCATGTTTCACTTTAAAAATCTTTTTATTATATATTTAATAAAAATATAGAATTTTCTTATTCTTTTAACAATTATTTTCAATACATGTGTGAATAGTGCAAATATTTCATATATGAGTTGAAACATAAAACTTGCATCCAATCTAAAATTAATTGAAACATGTGCAATAGCCCTCGTATTGTGAGCCATATATTACTTTAATATATCTTTGATGTGGGATTTTCCACTCAAAATGCCCTCACACCCTCTCACATGCAGGTTCAGTATAAATATTGAGTCTTGTCACATAGCTTAATATGCCTCTAGCTAACAATGAGTTTAACGAAAAATGTAACATGTTCTAATACCATGAAATTCTCTAGAGATGTAAGAATGATTAAGTCGAAAAGCATAATTCTTAATACAAAATACCAAGGTATATGTGCAAGCTGATAATTAAAGTTTAGCCTAAACTCACACCTTGTCAACAAGAAAAAACAAAGCAAACAAGCTAATTTTAAGTGTCTACAAGATTAAGACAATTATAATGATAGATTATTTTCTAAATTCACACTTGATTATTTTTGTAATATTCTTCTATTATATTTAGTTATGGGTGAAGGCAGAAGTTGCAAATTACGTTTTAATATTTTCAAGTTAAAGCAAATTAGCACTAAAAACAAAAAGTTGAAGCAAATTGTCATATGAAAATTTCATTTCTAAAAAAATGACCCAAATTTAATGGCACAATTATTATTATTTTTTTGTTAAAGTATTGTTCTTAAAGTCTAATGAAAAACTAAGGTCAACCATTAATGTAAGTTCAGTTCTTTAAAATGAAATTTTAATATAGCAATTTGCTTCTTTTTTTATTAAATACTAATTTGCTT